CTCACAGACGTGGTCACCACACATACAGCATGTCTGGGTCACTCACATACACAGACGTGGTCACCACACATACGGTATGTCTGGAGTTACTTTCCTAGAGGTTAAAAACTCTCAAAACTTTGAGGCCTCAGTGACCGATATCGTCGATGCAAATCCTCAGCTACAGGTTTTGTTCCATTGGAGGTCTGTGACTTCTATTCTAAGTAGAAGTTTAGGCTTTCCAAACATATGTGTGTACTTTCATCATTTCTGCTATTCATTAGAAATCTAACAAAGCCAGAATAAAATTAATTAAATATTAATTAAATTTTGTTGTATCTTTATTAAAATATTCTTTATATAGAAGAGATGAATGAAAATGAGGACATGATTGCTCCCAGGTATGGTTGAAGATAAAGTTTTTATTAGCTATATGAGGGAGAGGACCAGACTGAACATGGCCAGAACAGAACAGAGCATCAAGAGGGGAGGGGGAGAGTGAGCGGAGGAGGAAAGAGAGGGAGACAAAGAGGGCAAAGAGAACCAAGAGCAGAGTGAAAATGGCAGGATTATGTAGGGAAGAGAAGCTGGGGGCAGGGAAGGAAAGTTCAGGGGCTGGAGAAGATTAAGGAAGGGACTGGGAGAAGAGCTGGGAAGAGCCCACTGTTACTGGTTCCTGCAATGCTGGGAGATGCTGAAAGAACCAGGCAGCCAATGTCCACTCTGATATGATAATAGGCTTCTCAGTTAGCCATTTTCCCTAGGTTTCTTCAGGACCTAACAGCATGAGATACAGCTATGAATTGCTGCCTAATTTCCTATACTCTGTTTACAACTGTCAAGTGGATATGCAAAGAATTCAATTTCCCTAAATATTCATTTTGTCAGCAACATAGGCCGATCTCCTTTATTTATCAACTTCCATCCTTTAAATTTCTAATTTCACTGATACCAAGTTCAAACACTGAAACACATATGAGAGAGTTAATATAGGCATTACTTAGCAAGTGTCACTTATATGAGAAAAAGTATGTGGCAGTAAGACACAATATTTTATTCACTTGGATTTTTTTTTCATGAAACAACACACACATCTTCATATAACATAGCTTGACAACACTATGGAAGACAATGCATCTTGAAAAACAAAGCAAAGTGAAACATCCTGGGAGAAATGATAGGAAAAATAAAAATATAGGTGGCTGGAGAAAAGGCTTAGAGATGAAGAGCACTGGCTGCTCTTGCAGAGGACTTGTGTACCAGTCCTAGCTCACCTACAGTGACCATCATTTGCCTGTAATTCGGGTTCCAGCGGCTCTGACTCCTGCTCCTGGCCCCTGCAAGAATGCAGTACATGGACATGCATGTAAGCAAATCACACTACAAGTAAAATAAAAAAAATGATTTAAAGAAACTAAATATGTAGTCTTAGAGCATAAAATCATTTCACTAATAACCTGTCAGGGTAAGGAATCTGTGTGGCAGAGGACTCACCACAGGAGAGTGAGTGGGATGTAAATATCTGAAAACATTTCCTTAAGAGAACAACGCCTTTAATTGAACAATAGGTGCCCAAATAGGAAAACAGATTTTGACATTATTAAAGCCACTGGATTTTATTGGACTTAAAGACAGTTTAATGATAATTCGGAAATGAAAAATAAATCTAGATAAAACTATAAATAAATGAATAAGTAAATACAGAACAGATGGTTATGACTGAACATAAGAAGCACAGTCCTCAGGACTGAAGAGATGGCTCAGTTGTTAAGAGAATTTTCTGCTCCTCTAGAGGACCTGGTTTCAAATTGAATTCTCACATGGTGGTTCAAAACTGCCTGTAACCCCAGTTCTAGGGGATCTGATACATTTTGATTTTCATGGGGTACCAGATACTAATATGGTACACAAATATACCTACAGGGAAAACACTCGCATACATAAAATAATAAAATGAAAACAATCTTTAAAAAATAAAATGAAATAGTAAGTCAAAAGACAGTCCACATTCATCATCTCCTATATAATGAAAACTCTATGTTTTGTAGGGAGGAGTCTGAAATGACATATTTTTTTATCAATCATTTTGAATGTAAACATGGCTAGGCAATATCAAAAGCACAGTGTAACATATCACAACAAGGAAGCATAATCCAGAATGAGAGAGCCTCTAGTCTACATATTAAATACTCCACTTGCTATTAGTTGGTTGTATTCTTAGATCAATGTGTTGTCTCTTATTTATAATATTTAAACCATATATTTAGAATATTTTCAAAAACTCATTATTCTATCATGGGCAAAAATATTTACAGAAACCCATTTTAAGAAAAAATAACCTAAAAGACTTAAACATACTTTGTTCTCATCCATGCAAATGAGATAATTACTCCAGATATTAGATTTACAGAAATGTAAAACACTGAAGATGTCATAAATATAAACAAAAATATTTGAATTTGAGGACCTCCTATTCTATCAGTAACATTTACTATCATTTCTTTTACCTCTATGTAAATTTTTTTATTCTTACTTTTTAAAAAGAAAACAAACTATCTTTTTTCATTTTACATACTAATTCTAATTCCAGTTTCCTCTCCTTCCCCTCCTCCCATTCCCTATTCACTCCTCAGAGAGGGTAAGGCACATTGCTTTGGGGATGGTCCAAGGCCCTCCCTACTATATCTAGGCTGAGCAAGGTATCCATACAAAGAGAATAGGTTCCCACAAAGACAGTACAAGCAGTAGGGATAAATCCTGGTGCCAGTGACAGTGGCCCAACAGTTTGCCATAGCCATTCAACTATCTCCCACACTCAGAGGGACTAGTTTGGACCTATGCTGGTTCCTTCCTTGTGCAGCAGGAGTTGATGAGCTCCCATTAGCTCAGGAACCCTAAGCAAAAACATACATAGATCCACCTGGAAAGGAAAATAGACAAGATCACCTGACAAAATTGGGAGCATGGGAGTGAGAGAAGGGAGGGTGGATGGGGAAGAGGAGGGAAGAATGAGACAAGAACTTGTAGGAATAGGATAGTCAAGATGGAGGAAGGACAGATATGAGAGCAAACAAATATTTTGATTGAGGGAGCCATTATGGGGCAAACAAGTAACCTGGCACTAGAGAAACTACCAAGAATCCACAAGGTCATCAACCCCAGCTAATGCCCTAAGCAATAGTGGACCAGGTGCCCAAACTGGCCTTGTCCTGTAGTCAAAATGATGAATATCTTAAATATCACCATAGAACCTTCATCCAACAACTGATGGAAACAGAAGCAGAGACCCACAGTGGAGCACTGGGCTGAGTTCCAAAGTTCAGCTGAAGTGTTGGAGGAGTGAGAATATGAGCAAAGATGCCAAGACCATGATGGGGACACTCACTGCAACAGCCACCTTATACTTTTAAGTAGAACTTAAAATGTTACCAGGTAGAGTTACTTTTTGAAAGGCGTTCACTATAAAGAGTTTAATTTATTCATAAATATCTTTTGCAATAAATTAAGATCAAATGTGTTTAACATCATGTTTCAATTACAATCATAACAGAAAGAGATATAATTAATTAGGAAGCATTCAGGGTTTCTTTTTTAAGTTGTGAAAGAAGCCTTAAGCTAAAGCTTAGTACATGTTCACAGGGAACTCTCAGGAACAAAGGTTTGGGGTTGTCAAGATAGCTCAGCTGGTTAAGTACTTGCTGCTCAAACATAAATCAAACCCCCTGACCTTATATAAAAAGCTGGCTGTGATGGCATGTGCTTTAGTTCAAGGGCTGGAATGGTAGATGAAGACTACTAGGGCCCTTGGGTTCTCTTCCCTTCCAGAGCAGTCTAATTGTGAACCCCAGACCATCAGAGGCCACTCTCAAACAAACAAAATACAAAGCAAAAACAAACAAAAGCCAAGGAAACAAGGTGGACTGTATCTTGACCTCTGGCTTTCCCATGCACATGTACAACACACACACACACACACACACACACACACACACACACAGAGAGAGAGAGAGAGAGAGAGATCCTACAAGCAAAATCTAAGGGTTTTGAGTGAGATTTGTTATTTGAAACAAAAGTAAATAAACTGAAAATCAAGAAGGATAATTACAGCAGAAAATTCTGGACACTTGATCTCGAATTTGTTTGGTCTTCACCCCATAAACAATAGGGTTGAGCAAAGGTGGGACAAGTAGGTAAAGGTTAGACAGGAGAATGTGAATGTAGGATGGAATGTGGAAGCCAAACCTATGTGTAAAAAAGGAGAAGAAGGCTAGGAGATAAAACTCCAAGAAGACACAAATGTGGGCAATGCATGTGTTAAAGGCTTTGAGTCTTGCTTCCTTTTGAGGCAGTTTGAAGACAGTTATAAATATTCTAATGTAGGAGAGTGTTATGAAAATTATGTCCAGTCCAAGTATACTGAAAGCCACAAAAAGACCATAGATCTTGTTGACACGAACATCTTCTACTGCCAGCTTGACAATCGCCATGTGCTCACAGTATGAATGGGATACAACTGTGGTCCAGTAAAAATTCAACCTGCATTTGATGAGAATGAGACATGGAGCTACAAAGAGGGCAGCTCTGAGTGTGACTCCTAGTCCTATTTGAGTGAGGAGTCGCTGGGTAAAAATTGATGCATGTCTTAGAGGATCACAGATTGCCACATAACGATCCACTGCCATAGCAAACAAAATGCCTGACTCAATACACTGGAATGTGTGAATTAGCCACATCTGCAAGAGGCAAGCATCAAAGTATATGTTTGGAAGGTGAAACCAGAATATTCCTAGCATTTTCGGTAAGATGCAAGTACTGAGAGCAATGTCTGTTGCTCCAAGCATTGCTAGGAAGAGGTACATGGGTTCATGGAGGCTTCGTTCAACTTTGATGACAACAAGGAGCAGAAAATTCCCCAAAAGAGCGATGATGTACATGCCAAAGAAAGGAATCCCAATCCAGAACTGCACCGACTCCAAGCCAGGAATCCCAATCAGGGTCAGCACTGAGGGCCTGAAGATGGAGCTATTGAAATGGGGCATGCTGCCTTAGGGACTGCGGGTATACGGCTTCTCAATTAGACCATTAGCTTGTGTTGGGAACATTTTTTCTGTTTTCAGTTAGAGAAAATTCACACAGAGACTGAGTGAATTTCTCATGGCAGTTTTCAGATATCAACTTTTCCTGAGGAGATCCATTCATGTACATCCAAGAGGTCTACACATCTCTTCTAAGTGGGAATGATTTATTTCAGAGTCCAGTTTTCTGTCTACCTGTCTCACTTTCTTCTCTTTCCATGTCTGTCTCATCACAAACAGACATCATAGACATGCATACACTCCAAATAAAAGCTTATTAGGTATATTCTAGAAAGAAAACATCTTTCTGAATATTTATGAAAAATATTCACATGAAAGTAAGGGTTGGTTTTCTGTGAAATATCCTCCTGCTATTTAAATAATTAAATATCTTCTTTGTTATATCCTTGTCAAAAAGTATTTATCCTCTTTAGAGAAATCATAAAAGGGCAATGATATATGTTTACTGTTTCAGTAAGTGCTGAATGAAGAATAAATCATGAAGAAGCTTGCTATATTTTAATATTTCATGACATGGATATTTGCTTATTTCACCTTGCCCCTGTCTTCAAGTTCTCTTTTCCCCTACCCTTGTCATTTTACTTTAGTATATAATGCTGAGTGAGATGTTCTTATGTGTTTAAAAATATTATTTCATATGTTTCCCATTATTGTGATTATTATGCTTAACCTGGAATCTAATATTATTTGTTTCAATATAGCGATGTAAATTGTCTTCAAATTTCAATCTAGCTCAATTTGGGGATCCACATAGGGTAATTTTTCTTGGATGAAATGATATCTGGAGGAAAAGGAAGGGAGACATATAAGTGAAACTCAATCTCACAATGAACAGAAAGCTACCATATAGAGATAACATTAACATTACTGGCTCATTATTTCACTATAGAGAAAATATTGACATTATTGGATTATTACTTTAATATAGAGATAATATTAACATTACTAGTTCATGACTTCCATCATTTTTACATGCTTTTAGTCTTTGGGGGAATTTATCTTTTAATTCTACATGGTATTTAAAATAAACATATATTTATACTTTCACGTAATTTTCTTGTGTTTTACCCAACACAATTGTTTCTTGCTTAACTCCCAGGTCAAACATTTTTTTTTCTATAAATTCTCCTCATTTTTAATCAGATGTTAAATTCTTAAGAAGTTAGTCTTTTTGTTTTCTTGCTGATGAAGTATTTAATAATTGTAATATTTTAGAAACTAGTAAGTCAACTGGAGTTTACCTTCCATCTATTGTTTAAGTTTCAAAATAATATGATTTTTTATGTAACTGTGTTGTATGTCAGTTGTATTCATGCAGGGAGATCTGAAGAATTAGAAAAAGGAAACAATGAAGCTCAAAAATGCTAAAAGTCTTGGTTTCTTGATGTGTAAGTTTCATGGGTTTTATTATTGCCTGCTGTTCCTACAGTGACCAAAAGTAGCTTACATACCTCTGTCCGTGAGAGACTAGAAGCAAAGATGGGAGAAATATCTACTAGATAAAGAGAAAGTCAGTGCTGCGTTTTAACTTTCTTTATATCTAGGTCAAGTGCTGTGGAAATCTTTGCTTCCTTCAGATACTGTCTACTCTGAGGTGACATATATAATTAGAAATCTCCCCATATGTCAATTCCCATAGTCTCTTCACACATTACCTGAGTATTTCTTTTGGAAGTTCAGAGGCACCCATGGGAATACAATCAAGATTAATTTTCCAACTTTGTTGTGTGAGTTCACATATTAATACCAGTGTAGCTTTTCAGAGGCAACTAAAGAACAAAAAAAACGTTCAGCATTAAGAAGAGTATGGTACAATTCTCAATGAAGAGATGAGTGACCAAATAATCTTACAAGCCCCAATTGTTAACGAATCTCTGTCTTAGTACTTACGCAGAACCTGCACACATGAAGTATTACAGTGGTCCACAGTACTCCTCTCTTAACCCAAGTGACTCCAGTAACGTTCAGACAGGTTTTGAGGAGCAAACATGATCTCAACACAAGTTGACAAAGAAAGCTCTAGAAATGATATTTTAAAAAACAGAGTACTTTTTGTGGTTTAAATGACTTGTAAAAGTTATTACATCAACACCAGGGAGAAGTCAGGTCCAATTCTAGTACCACAGTATCAATACATTCAGGAAATTTCAATTCAACTTTGCAAAAGTGGGAGTGTCTTCAGCAACAGCTATGAAAATATTACTGAGACATAGAGCTAAGAACTTTCACTTTTGCAAATATTCCTTCCCACCACATTTACTTTTCTCACTAATCATAATTACTGATATCAACTGCAGAAACATGACTGATAGTCTTAGGTTGAGGTTTTATGTGGAGTAAAAATACTGTAGTTGGAAAGGGGAAAAACTCCTTAGAATTAAGGAACGAATACAATCATAGAAGTCAAAGGTTGACTTTCCTCCATTTTAATAACTGTTGCTTCTTTTAAGACAGGGTTTCTCTGGAGCTTTGGAGCCTGCCCTGGAATTAGCTGTTGTAGACCAGGCTGGCCTCGAACTCACAGAGATCTGCTGGCCTCTGCCCTCCCGTGTGCTGGGATTAAAGGCATACACCGCTTCTGGCTGGAACAACTATTACATTTTGTAAAGAGACAAAGTGTCAAATACAAAGTGTGATTCATTTTTTTAAAAATATATTTATTAAGTCTTTGACATTGTATTTTGGTTGTATTTATTTGACTCCCCCATCCTTCCACTGATAGATACACCACCACTATTCAAAGTCTTCATTTTATTCATCCCTTAAATTCCATATGGTCACTTTAGTTCTGACCATTATTCTTAGGTGGGTTACCAAACATGGGGCTACAACTTTAAAGAAAACCAACTCTTTCTCTTTGGCAGCTATCAATTGCCACTATAGTGACATATTAATATCATTGTCTGGTGGGCCAGGCCCCAGCAGTGTATGGTTCAAAGGGAAGTCACAGAGTTTGCACTTATTAGACTTTTCTGTCAGAGGGGGTTAGGAAAAAAAGACACTCACATTTTTTTCAATAGATTTCTTTTGTATTCTCTATTCTTCCACTGTATTCTTTTTTTCTGCAGTTTATATACCCCAGCAAAATATTTCAGGCAATATAAGAATTACAATGGGGTTACATTCTAATTTTCAAGTGAATGAATGTAAGTAAAAAAACATGTTTTCCATATTCCTTATGTTATTAAACATTTTATGAATTACAGGAGAAAAACAAATTATCCCAAGAACTCACATATGGTGTGGGAAGTCCTTTCTATGTGTTGCTTTCATTGGTTAATGAATAAAGAACTGCTTTGAGCCTATGGCAGGGAAGAACAGAACAATGCAGGGAAAGCTAGGCTGTATGCTGGGATGAAGAAGGGCAGGGTTGGAGAGAAGCCATGGAGCTGCCACCAGAGTCAGACATAACAAAATTTTGCTGGTAAGACACTGCTACGTGGCTTACATAGATTAATAGAGATGGGTTAAATTAATATAAGAGTTAGCCAATAAGAAACTAAAGCTAATGGGCCAAGCAATGATTTAATTGATATGGTTTTTGTGTGGTTATTTCAGGTCTAAGCTAGCCGGATGGCCGGGAACCAACAAGCAGATTCCCACTACACAAATACACACATTTCTAGCCAAGCAACTTGTTATGAGTTAATCATGTAGGCAAGCAAGCTATTCTCAGTCAGGTCTTTCATTGCATTTTGCAGTTACAAAGAAGGAACCAATTTCTTTATTACTTATCTTGAAAAATAATCCTATAGGGAATCTTAAAGGAGTCACACAATCAAACTTTTATATATGAAAAAGGATCAGTCAGCTCTACTTTAAATCTGTAGGGTGCTTTCCCACTCATCAGTAGTATTTTTGTATCAGGAGACTGAGGGCAGAAATGATTACAAGGAGTTAGTTGTTGCCTTTGATAGCTAACCCACCCTAGTAAGAAAAGTAGGTCAGTTAGTACCAATTGGACTGCTTTTTATTTGTTCGCTGACCTTGAGATAGTTTGACAAATACAATGCTACTTGACAAAAACGTCTTTGTCTAACTTTAAGTTATTTTCAAAGCTTAGTTTCAACTGCAATGCACTCCAGAACCTGAAATACATCTCCCAATATTCAGGTTAAAAGAATTTAAGCTAGCTGGGCTACTGGGACTTAGTTGGTTTGCTTAATTATTACCATAACATAAAGCACAGTCTATAGAAACTCAATAGAAACTCATGCGTTCTAGCTGTGTGACTTTTCCTTGTTTTATTTTTTGTCATCAAATCTCTAAGCAAACTAACATTATTATTATTATTATTATTAATCAAACAGTACAGCTTAAGAAGATACCATATCAATAATCTACAGGTAGAACAGGTTGTTTCCACATGATAAACACACCACATTACAGGCAGTGGGGATTTCCTCAAACCCATTTACATCATGCCAGATGCCAGAAAAAGCAACAACAAAAATATAAAGGCACAGCATAAACAAAAGACATTCTGGAGTCTGTGATCTTGGGGCCTTGTCTATCTGAGAGTCACCTCTCAGGGATTCACCTCCTGATGGGCTGACACCCTAAAGTCAGCTGCCACCTGCTGCTCTTCTGTGTCAGAGCCTTGTGGGCCCTGGCATCTTATGACTCAAATTCTTGCATCAATTTCCACTAGTATGTAGGGTCACATGACCTCACAAAGTGAAGGTTTCTCATTATCTTATGGTTGTGGGGTCCTAAAGCAGTAGAAACTCCCTAATGAATCAGATCTGACTTCTTACTTGCCAAAATCTGAGCTACTTGCCAAAGGACAAGTCACTAGAATATTTTGTGTAATAGTAAAGGTTTTGGCCAAGAATCTCATATCATAAAATAGTCATTATGTCACATATCAGATAACAATATCTTTCCTTGTTTCTCATTCGTCAGTCTGTAGTGACAACCACTCTACTATTTCTGAATATAAGTGATATCACAGAATAGCTGTTTTTCTTTTTCTAACTTATTCCACTTAGCATAACAAATTCTCTATCATT